CTCCAGATGTTTGCTTTAAAAATGATTAATTAAAAATAAATAATCTATAATTGTACATTATATATATTTTAAGAACACATTTCCTAGCTGGAGAACCTCCAGATTTACCTTCCTGGGAGCCTTGAAGGAGCTCCCTGCTGGCTTCTCTGGTCTGAGGACAGTTGCTTACTCTCAGCTGAGCCACCTCCTCAATGCTTTTCTCTAACCTTTTCTCCAGCTCATTCTTTTCTTCTTCTAAAGCTGACTTGTCTTGAAGGAGATCATTTATGGTAGATTCCAGCTTGCTGATGTGGATGTCCCTCTCGGCTTGTTCCCTCTTCAGACTCTCTACCTCCCTTTGAAGCAAGCCAACTGTAGATAAAGAAGTCCTCCTAAGTTGACTTCCTTGTAGCCGATTCACCTGGTTCTCCAGAAGATCAAGCTGAGTTCTAGTTGACTCTAGTTCCAGCTGCTGAGCTTTGCTCTCCCTCTGGAGATCTTGAATGGTTATTAATACCTCACTGAAGCCTGTACAGCTGTCTTCATTTTTACTGGGTACAGTGAAGGAATAAATGCATCTCCCATCCTGGTTATTGTTTTTGTGAAAATGGACATCACTTCCCAACGTTCCCCAGGCCATCCAGACTGAAATCAGCCATGTCACCGGCATCCCTGTGATTTCACACCAGCCTCTCTCTTTTAAAGTGAAGCAAGTTCTTTGTGAAAGAGAATGTGGATAAATTAATTCAATGCTTGCAGACCACAGTTTTGTAATGTTGGGAGTTAAGGGAGGTGCAGTAGAGGTTGGCTAGAAGCAGCAGAACTTACAGAACATTTTACAAATTTTAAGTCTCCTAAAGGAATTAGCATTTTTTCTTAGAAAATATTGCAAGACAGACTGCCAATTTTTGGCTGATGGAGGCAGATCTGAAAGCTTTATACATTTATAAAGTCAACAGCTTACATGTTTGTGGATGCATACATGAGAAAATAAAATGAGATTAACTGAATAAAACAATTTAGTGTTGAGGGGAAGATGGCCAAATCTGTAACATCCAAATGTTTTCTAGATTATTCTGGGAAGACCAATACAGTAGTGTTTTGATATTTTTCTCTTATTCTAGGATATTTTCTTTCCAGTATCCCAAGTTCCTCTTTCATTTTTGTTAACTATAAAAAGGAATGTAACATGGGGTTTGAGGTTTTCTCTCCTTTTACATAGAAAGATCCTGCTTTATCAGGATACCCTGATAAACCACTTTTAAATGATCTTCCAATTCGGTTGCTTATTGGGAAGCTAAACCAAGGCAGAACCTAGGCTAGGGCCAGATTTGGCTATCAAAAGACAGCAAAGTTTTGCTAGTAATTTGGAAATGTGGAAAGAGGGAAGAGTTGTAGTTGCTATTTATCTCAGCTTTCTCCTCTATACACTGGAGGAATTGCCCGCTCTTTCCTCCTACCAACCCTTGAACCTGGATGCTTCTAAGGCAAGAAATGTAGAAATTTCCATAGCCTTATCCACAACTTTTAAAAGTCAGAATTTCCATACAAGGGTGGAGCCATTTCTCCAGGCTCTGCAAACGCACTCAATCAGGTCACCTCCTATAGGCCTCATAAATATTTTAGACTTAGTTCCTGTGCTACTGGGAAAGTGAAGGCAGTTCATTGATAAATTCAACTTTGTTGATAACTTTGACTGGAAGGTCTAGAAGAGCCTTTTCTCTTGCGGCCACCACCCTTTGGAATAGGAGTCTCCAACCTTGGTACTTTAAGCCTGGAGGACTTCAACTTCCAGACTTTGCCAGACTTGCTGGCTGGGGAATTCTGGGAGTTGAAACCCTCCAGGCTTAAAGTACCCAAGGTTGGAGACCCCTGCTTTGGAACACCCTGTCACTGGAGCGGAGATCCACCTCTATCCTTTTGGCCTTCCAAAGGGGTTTTAAAACCTGGCTCTGCCAGTTGACTTGTTGCCATTATGGGGGTGCTCCATGCTGGAGCTGACTGACAGGGTGAGAAGCCCCCACCCCTAGCCTATCTGTCCTCTTGGTTTTTAGTCCCTATTTCTTATTAATGTTAATTGTTTTTATACTTACCTTATAATTTGCTAAGCTATGCAGTCACTTCAATAGGGAGATGGGCAGCATATAAATTTAATATATAGAACAAATTAAAAAATAAAGCCTTTGCTTTTTAAATTTAAAAAAAATCCCTTGTCATCTTTTTTGGAGGTATGTATCTTAATCTCTGGTCGTCTATCAGATGCCTGGGAGTTTTAGGTTTCTGAGCAGTTCCCAATACTGCACTCTTATGGACAGAGAGCTCCAACGTTTTTCCTGGAATATATTGGAGCCGCTCTCCCGGCTTAGGAATCTCAGCCCCAAATACTCCTAACCATCACTGGATCATTTAGGCCATTACTTTCCACATCTTTTCTAGTTCGTTCTTTCTGATACTTCTCAAGCTTCTCATACTTCTGCCTGATGTTGCAGAAAGATGACTGGTTCTCTTCTCGTTTGTTCTGGGGCAGCTTCTGTTCCCAATTGTCAGCCCCTCTAGGAATACCAGAAAATAAATTCCACAGGAAGGGCAGGATGACACTTTATTGAAGACAGGCTATAATAAGAGAATCTTGCAAGTCTGATTGTTCTTCTCCTCTCCTCCCTTTTATTCCCCAAATAATTTGCCTGATCTTCTTCAGAATATTATTTCTCAGAACTTAAAAAGCTCTTTTTACTTAGATAATATATCTTGCATATTTCTGTCCCAGTTTATATTTTACACTCATGAACAGGTTGCCTTGCATATAATATAATTGCAATTAATTTAATTTTAGACATTCTTTTCCTTGTGGTAGATGAACAAGTGAATCAAAGCTCATGTTTTTTGTTTTCATCTCTCTCTTGGATCTTGATTACAGTGTTTTATAAGATAGTCATAACACATCAAACTTTTAGTAGGAAAGGCATAATGTATTAAGTAACTGAATTTGGGAAATGGATTAAATAACTGAATTTATACGGTATAATCCCAAATTTTGCCAGTCACCTTAATTTTCTCCAACAGTGATAATTTTCTCCACATGTTGAAAAAATTCTACTCTATTCTATTAATTGCTATTCATATAATGAAGCAACAAGATTGAAGGCATAGGAACAAAAAGATTTAGCAGTTATCAATGTAAAAATAGGAATGCAAAAAAAATAAGGGGGATTTCCCCCCCCCAAAAAAAAGTATGTTCAGAAAGAAGCCTAGAGGATAATAAACAATAGTAAATTATAAGAATAAAAATTACCAAAAGTTCAGAAAAGACCAGGAAACATTAATAATATGGAAACCAATTTAAGAGATAGGACAGCAGCAATAGTATCTCAGACAAAGTAGTTATCTTAAAATAAGATTTTTTCAATCAATGTCAAATGCTTCCTCAGTTGAAAGGAATGAGCGTAATCAAGGTCAACAAAGGATTTTAAAAAAATGAATGGCAGCCCGAAGGGGAAAAAACGAAGTTTCTTTTTAAGTGCTTGAGGAAAGCTTTGGAATGAATAGATCCAGAGCAGTTGGATAAAGATATGGAAATAAAGTGCAGCCGTCAAGAAAACTAGCCAGTCTCTTCAGCAATACAAGATTACACAAAGCATCATTCCAAAAGAAGTATATTACTCATAATTCATTCTTTTTTTCTATGACTCAAACCATTATTTTGTGCTCCATCATTACCACAGTGATTTATAGATCGTGTAATATAATTGGTCCAAGTGAAAAAGGTACATTATTGCTTGAAGAGGATCAATATTTTCTAGTATTGTGCAAATACATTTTTATTTTGTTTCCTGATATTATTTTGCTGCCTTGCTTTGTGTGATTGACCTTATTTTTATTGTACTTTAATACAATAAAATGTTCCATGCTTTGGCAACCTTTTGTATCATGGAATCACATATGAACCATACAAAGCACATTTTTAATGCACATACATACATACACACACACACACTCCTTCACACCTCCATATGAATATGATACCTTGCCACAATAAACATTTTAAGTTATTTAGGTCTTGAAGCTGGAAAATTAAAATGCTTTCATGGTACAGGTAGTCCTTTTAAGTGAATCTGGCTTCCACATTGACTTTGCAGGTCAGAAAGTTGCAAAAAGTAATCACATAATCTTGGGACACTGTAACTATCATAAATACATGCCTGTTGCCAAGCATCCAAATTTTGATCATGTGACCATGGGATGCTGCAGCAACTGTAAGTATGAAAAATGATCATAAATGACTGTTTTCAGTGCCGTTGTAACTCTGCATGGTCACTAAACAAATGGCTATAGGTTGAGAACTACCTGCAATCTCATTCTCATGCCAGTAGTTCTGCATTGATATTCATGCCTACTCAGAAATCATTCATTCCTCTCTCTGCACACAGTAAGGCATAAGAAAGTTTCCGAGACAGTGGGATAATAAGCAGCTGAAATAATAAATACGGAAGAAAGAGAGATGCCAGGGAGTCCCAAAACTATTGCTGCAGGCCTAGATAAGGGGTGTCAAACTCGATTTTATTGAGGGCTGCATCAGGGTTGTGTTTGAACACAGAGGGGGGGCTGTGTGGGAGTGGTCATGGTGGGCATTTGATACATGCTCAAGATGCATTTTTTCCCTTTGCATTCAAAACAGCTATTACAGACAAAGGGAGATTTACTTTCTGGCACAAATAGTCTCAATTCCAAAATGCAGAGATTAAAGACATGTAGAGTCCCCAGCTGCTATGGGGCTTGACTCTTTTGTATAGGAGCAGAGCATAAATGAACTGACAATTTCTCCAGATGTCTCCAAAAACTGTCTGTCCAACAGTGTGTTTTGTTACTACCTCTGACACAGTCCTAGAGGAGGACTTAATATTAGTAATAATTTACAAAATTGATATACCACACAATTCCCAATGACTCTGGATGTTTACAATTAAAAATTTAGAATTAAATCAATCACAGGCAAAAGATAAAGATAAAAGCTGACAAACTCAGTGATATTAGGGGGCTCACTCTCATCAAAGACCTGGGTGAAGAGCCAGATGTTTTTGGCTCTTCTGAACAATAGCCATTCAGATCTTGGAGGGTACCTAGTTCTAAATTGGCAGAGGATGCTAAAGACAAGGTGGTGCTGCCTCCTGCAGCAGTCTGCCAGCCAAAACAGGGTGCCGGAGGGGGCTGTGCACAGTCCCCCACACCCTGTTTTGGCTGGCAGAGTGCTGCAGGAAGCCATCCAGGCCAAAAATAGGGCATGTGGGGGCTGTGTGAGGCCCTCCCACACAGTTTTGGTTGGCCGAGGCACCATGGGCTGGCCCCGTGGCACAGATCTAAACACCCTGGCCTAGATAAAGACTCAGGCCAACTCTAGGTTTCAAAGATAAAAAAGAAATGCTGCATTTTTGTCAGTTAAAAATGTGGACAGGCTGAACATAACACAAAGGAACCTGTCTGCTGTTAATGTTGCAGCAGAAATCATATTGTTTTGCCTGCAGTTGCATTCTTTTTTGTGTTATAGTTTCAAAGTCTGCGAAATTTAAGTTGTCTTAGCTGAATCAGCAGCTTCTTTATTTCAATAATTTACTAAGAGCTACATATTTGCGGTCAAAAATATTTTCTTTTTTACTGGAATGCTTTTATAGAACAAAAATGAGCAATAATAGCAACACAGAATTTCAGAATCCCTTAAATACAGAATGGTAGCTTGCAACCCCATATTTTGGGACATTTCCCCTCACAGGAAAGTCATATTTGTAATTATTCAGTTGAAGAAAAATGTTTTGTTAAACAGTGATAGACTATACACTTCCTTGTTCCCTCCATAATTCTTTCCTCCATTACTTTATCAATAGCTGTAGGAAACTATTTAAATTATAAATAACATTATCAATTCCCTACGTATATATATATATATATATATATATATATATACATACACACACACACATATACTCACTTATATATACATTATTTAAAAAAACAAATGAAATACTGACAAGTATCTGATTCCATATAGGTTCCTTTGTAAGAGCAACAATGAGGTTTTGGATCCAATATTGACAGTATAGTTAATTCATGACTGAAAGTTGTATGTTTGCCAGGCCCTCTGAATGCTCTTGGTGGAACTGTGCGTGTGTCTCCCTGGAAGTTCAGGAATCACTTCAAAGCTATATACACAATACATTCCACTGAAATCATACAGCTGCTAGCTTTGCTGTTATCCTGAAGTGGTGTCCACAAGGATGTTCATCTTCAAATCAAGTGCGGTGTTTGAGGATGATGGGAACTGCATAAGACAGAAAAACACCATATTTAAATCGCTTACAAAAATAATAGTCAACTAGTTTCAACCCTAAAACACCCTCATCTTCTAATCATTGAAAATCATCTTTACAGTTACAATATTGAATGTACTTACTGTGGTAAGTCATGGCTTGCTTAACTATAATTTTCTTAATGACTTATAAATAAATAGATTAACATAAGATAAATAATAAATTAGGATTTATAAAACACTGTTGCTAAATTCACCTAATAAAGTAAATACCGGACAAGAAAACTACATAAACCCAGTTAGTTATCCCTAAAAAAGTGTTTAACACTGGTTAATTTATTCTTAATGCAGACACAATTCACATCTAAACATTACTGTATTCTAGCATTAAGAGTGTATTCCCATTAAAGCTTAAGATGTGGAGCAAACTCTACATTAATGGCCAAACAACAGAAAGAGCCAGACATCAAAGCAGAAAGACTGAAGGAACAGGTAAATTTTATTTTTACCAATCAAGAATGTCATCACATTATTTTAAAGTACTAGCACCAATGCAAAACATTTTATTTACTTATTGTATTTAGAAGAATATCAGAAAGGAATACGCACCAATAATGATTAGCAGGACCACAACAGCAACCAAAGCCACAATTGCCTTCACCTGCAAATTAACACACAGAAAAGTATGTAATTAATTCCCAATTGAAGACACAATTGATCAGCTTAATCCAGGTTCAACAACATGCCAATAATAATGAGTGTGCTCGGAAGGCGGAGCTGGCGTCGCAGCAGTTGGACGGGCGATCTTGATCTTCCAAGATCACTGTCGATATCTCAGCTGCTGGTCGGTCCCCACAGACCTAAACCGTCCCGTAGAGACGGTGATTGACAAGGACACGTCCTGTTGATCCCAGGGACATCACAAAGTCCCTGGCTGATTCAGGGGAAGCCCTTTTTGCCGGCGGCGGAGAGGCAGCCTTTCAAGCTGCTGAAGCTGGGACAGCTCCGGAATGGAAGAGATTGAAAGAAAGTGTGTCAGTTTGGTGAGATGAACTTTTACTTATTATTTCTTGGAGAGAACACCCTGAAAAAAATAAAGTGGACTAAAAGTGAAGAGGAAAGAGTTTAAGCGGTGTGATTAATTGTCAAAGTGAACTTTTTTTCTTTTTTTCCCTTTTTATTGGAATTTTGAACTTGGCAAAGGTGTTTAACTTTAAGCTAGACTAGTACTTTTTAATCTTTTTATTTCTGTTTGTATTTCTTTCTCCTTTTTTTTAACAATCCTTTTGAAAATTCTTTTTTGATTAAGACTTTTCTGCTTGATTTAAGATTTATTTTTCTCCCTTTTTAAAAAAAAGAGGGGGGGGAGATTTTACTTTTTTTTTCTTTTAGTTCCTGGCTGTAGATTGAAGAGGGGGAAGTAAAAGTGAAGGAAAATAAGTAGCACCGCCGCCCAGAGGCTTGGATACATTGTTTCTTTTTTCTTTCACTAGTTTGTGTTACAATCAAGGACTCTGAGCTGTGTATTGGAAAAGATAGAGATGAGCATGGCAGTTTGTTTATTCAGGTGCTCATTTGTGAACAGATAGCTGGAGTCTGGAGTTGAAGTTGAAAGAAAGAAGACTGAAGTGACCTTGAAAAACTCTTGAGCTGATTTATCGAAGAGCCTTGGATATTTGGCGGCAGAGGCTTCTTTTATATTAGAATTGCTTTTTACCTTTTGCCTCCCTTTCTACCCCGCCCCCCCAACTAGTGGGGCTCTTTTTTTCTTTTTAATTGGATTTTGACTTTTTACACCAGGAACCAGAATGTAAATCTTTTATTTTTGTTTTATTTTTGTTTATTAAGAGGAACATATAGAATATTTATCTTCCTCTTTTTTTCCTTTTTTATTGTTGATTTTTTTCACTTTTTACATTTACCACTGTAACTAATTGGATTAAGGTATACAAGTGCCTGAAGACTTTCTTTTTCCTTTTTTTCTTTGGAGTGGCAATTGTTTGCCTTCGTCTTTTTTTTTCTTTTTCCTCCCCCACTCCTTTTTTCCTCTTTTTTCTTCTCTCTCTTTCTTTACAGATAAGCATTATAAGATGAGTAGAAAGACAACAGCCCCAGCTTCTTCGATACCAACTCCCTCACCATCTGGAGGACGACGATCTATACAGACAATATTATAACAGGAAAAAGAGAAAGAGAAGGAAGTGACATTACAGATGATTATGCAAGGAATCCAGAAGATTGAGCAAACAATAGAAAAGACAGATGAGAAAGTGGAAAATAGTCAAAAGGTGATGATGAAATATGAAGAAAGATTTTAAAAAATTGAAGAAGATATACAAAGAGATAAGAAAATTGGAGACTTTGATGTTCGATTGAGCGATGTCGAGAAGGGCAGATGTGAATAGGATGGGAAATAAATAAATCAGAATTTTATCTAAGATTTCAAAATATAGAAGGAAAAGGTGAAAACCTTGCTGAAATAATGGCAGAAATATTGGCAGAAGCACTGGAAATAACCAAAGAAAAGATTATGGATGGGAGGGATGAAGTGTTTCGTGTCTATACAAGATATGCAACAAGGAATAGACTACCAAGAGAATCACATTAGATTTACTAAGAAGATTATTAAGACACAGATACTCCAGGTGGTGAGAGAGAAAACACTAAAATATAAAGACAAAGAAATTGTGGTGCTGAAACAGATACCAAGAAGAGTAAGAGAGATGAGAAGAGAATATTTATTCTTGACTAAAGAGTTACTTAAAAGAGGAGTAAACTACAAATGGTTGATGACAAAAGGCCTCTTGTTCATTTGGCAGGAACAAAGACACACAATTGACACAGTTGAAAAAGCTGAGCTATTATATTTAGAATACTTTAGAGGAAAGGAGGAAGAAGAAAAGAAGAGTCACTAATTGAATTTCAAGAGGAGTGTATAGCAGTAATTGAAAAAGAAAAAGAAGGTGCAGTAGGCGGTGAACCCAGAGAACAATGAGAATTGAGATTTACTAGAGCAATAAAACCTTATAAAGCTTAATATGGATGAAAGAAAATTGATTTTGATTAACATAAATGGACTTAATTTGGCTACTAAAAGAAGGAAAATATTTCAAAATTAGAAAAATTAAAATTTGACATAATCTGCTTACAAGAGGTACATATTAAAAAACAACATGAATATATACTAAAACAAGGAAAACTAGGGAAATTATTTATGCCACTGGCACAATCCAAAAAAAGAGGTATGGTATTATATATTAAAGAAACAATTTTGGCAGAACTAATCTACACAGATGATGATGGAAGGATTCTGATGGTGGAAATAATGGATAATAACGTTAAAACACTTCTAATTGCAATTTATGCCCCAAATGATAAACAAGAAGAATTCTACAGAAAATTACATACGAAAATAATTGAATTGGACTATGTTAATATTTGTATGATGGGAGATTTTAATGGAATAATTAATGACCGGTTGGATTATAAAACACAGAAAACAACAAAGAAAGTTAGAAAGATACTACCAAAATCCTTCCTTCGAATAATAGAATAATTTAACTTAAAAGATGCATGGAGAGAGAGAAATGCAGAAAGTAAGCAATATACTTTTTATTCAAACAGGCATACATCATTGTCTAGAATAGATATGATATGGATGTCAGCAGAATTATTGACTAATGTACAACAGATTAAATAGAAACAAGCACTTGGGCAGATCATAATCCAAGGTAAGGCTGTCCATTGTCGCCTCTGCTGTTTGTGTTAACATTGGAAGTGTTGAACAGGAATATCAGAGAAGAAAGAGAAATAAAAGGAATGAAAATTTAAAAGGAGGAATATAAATTGCAAGCTTTTGCAGATGACCTGGTATTTATATTAGAAGACCCATTGGAAAAAGCACCCAAATTGATAGAAAAAATAGAAGACTATGGAAAAATAGCAGGTTTGAGAATAAATAAAGACAAAACAAAGATATTAACAAAGAATATGTTAGCAAGACAAAAGAAAGAGTTGAAAGAAATTTTAAAAATACAGGTCACGAACAAGGTTAAATATTTAGGGATACATATTACACCAAGATGTAGTACACTGAAGGAAGATAACTGTTAAACTCAAACAGCAGATTGCAACAGATTTGATAAAATGGGAAAAACTACTATCATTGATTGGGAGAATATCCACAATTAAGATGAATATATTGCCTAGAGTTTTATATTTACTCCAGACAATTCCTGTTCCACTAGGGAAAGAGTTTTTTGAAGATTTAAATAGAATAGTGTTGAAATATATTTGGCAGGGTAAAAAAGCAAGAATAAAATTAAAACTGTTACAAGATGTAAGAATAAGAGGAGGGTTTGCCTTGCCCAATTGGGAGCTATATTACCAGGCGTCAAGTTTGATGTGGGTAAAGGAATGGATAACACTAAGGAACAGTATATTATTGACTTTAGAAGGCCATGACTTGCAGTTGGGATGGCATGCCTTTCTCTGGTATAAGGGAACTAAAACACAGGGGTATTTTAGAAGACATTATATTCGAGAGGCATTGTTTTTGAACTGGGAGAAGATAAAAAGATAATATTACTTAAAAATTCCAACATGGATATCAACTATTGAAGCTTTTTCTTATCCAATAATATATAAAAAGGAACAAACAGTTACATATGGTGAGGTATTGAATGAAAAGGGTGAACTTAAATCTATGCAAGTGTTGGAAGAACGAGGTGTAAAAATGAATTGGTTTTCATATTTGCAAATACACCTAGGTTTGATAAAGACTCTAAAGCAGAGGTATTTATGATAAGTTGACTAATTTAGATAAAATTTTGATGGGTACTGATGAAAAGGTAATAAAAAAACTTTATGGACATCTATTACAATTTAAATTGGAGGAGGAACAAGTTAAAGAAATGATGATTGCTTGTGGGAAAATTTTTGGAAATGGGATTTAGAAAAATGGCAAAAATTGTGGTCTCAAAATTATAAAATGACAATGTCAACTGCATATAAAGAAAATGTGTATAAGATGTTTTACAGGTGGCACCTACCCCTGACCAGACTTGCGAGAATGTTTAAGAATACATCGGATAAATGCTGGAAATGTCATCAGATACCTGGTTCATACTACCATATGTGGTGGACATGTTCGGACGCAAAGAAATATTGGACTAAAATCCACACATGGTTGGAAAAAATGATAAAACAGCATGTAGACTTTAAACCAGAGATCTTTTTATTGGGAGTCATACCAGACATATACAATAAAGAATTGAAATATTTGATTGTAAATGTTTTAACAGTGGCTAGAATTATATTTGCGAAGAACTGGAAAAATGACAAAATACCTATGAAGGAGGAAGTTATTAAAAAAAAATATGGACTGTGCTGAAATGAGTAAACTGACATTTGAAATTAGAGAACAAGAAGACGAGCAATTTTATATGATATGGGATTTGTTTTATCAATGGTTGGATAAAAAGACATGGTAAGGGAACAGAATAGATAATTTTGTTATAGAAGTTTAATAGACTGATACAAAATATAATGTAGACATATATAACCATTGGATGACAACATAATATAATATTGATGGAATAAATAGCAGGAAATTTAATAATTGATAAGCATATGTTAGTTTGACAATGTGAGATTGATATAAATTGTGAACAATGATTATGAAAGGATTTCATAAAAGATTCTAAGCCAACTGACACACTGTATATACAAAATGGAAGATGGTTTTATGTTTTTTAGTGTATTGTAGTGTAGTGTATGTTTGTCTTAAAATAAAAAAAAATATTAAAAAAAATAATGAGTGTGCTCAGATAATTTAAAGTGGCTGCACAGTTTCAAAATAACCTAATCTAGTCTAGCCTCAAGGGTCAAAATCATGTTAAATCAGTACGTGGGTACAGGTAGTTCCTGTTCAACAACTGTTCAAAGTTATAATGGTACTGAATGAAAGGGCCTAAAGCCATTCCTTGCAGTGGTGACTGTTGTAGCATCCCCATAATCATGTGACTGCAATCTGCAATTACCCAATCATCTTTTGAGAAATTAACTATTGGCTTCGAACAAAGTCAATGAGAAAGCTAGGAGGAGGTTGCAAGCTGTGATCATATGACTACAGGACATTGTGACAATGTTGGATTCACCTAATGGTGGGAACTGGGACTGCTGCAATTGTCACTGTAAGTCACTATCACATGCCTTATTTTATTTTATTTTTTTTGTAAAAATTTTTTGAGTTTTCACAAAGAGAAAAAAAATACAAATAAAACATCTTTTCTGAAAGCAGCATAATCCCGGGTTACCTTTCTTCATACAGACACAAATTCAGCTTCATGCTCATTTTTATATTCTATTCCATATCTTATTAATTTTCTGCATAGCTTCTCCCCTCTTTTAATTTTCTCAATTTTATTTTAATTATCTCATCTCAATTCAAATCATTGTATTTATATTTTTTGTCTGTCCTGTTTCAATTATCTATTATCTTTTCTCATTAAACAAAATTTCTCCTGTAGTTACTGATTGGAGTATGACGCCTTTATATCTTTTCCCTAAAGTTGTAACATTCAATATAATACATAACTTCCATTCGGATTCTGCTTGGTACATTCTTAAAATACACACTGTATTCTTAAAAAAAGAAAAAAATTATAAATGTATATAATTAAAACAACATTCCATTCCAATTCAATTCTATCATTAATATTAATATTCATTAAAGTCTTAACATCTTTAACATTACTTTTCAATTAAATATCATACTTCTATAGGAACAATTATAAGCTTTCCATAGTTAATTCCCCCCCTCTTCATTTATATTTTATAAAACATTAACTAATTAAAATGTTCCTGTTCGTTCCTAATTCAATTTTCTCATTTATTTTATTTCACTTATTTTATTCACAAACATTTCACTAAATTACACTATTTTATCCCTCGTTTTAATCATACGTTGTTTCCAATTTTCTAAAGTTATTTCTATTACTAATATAACAATACAATCTTATGTACCTTTACAGAATCCCTTTTTCAGTTAGATTTTCACCCATTATCTCTAAATAGGTCCTGTTTCTCTATATCTTGCTCCAGTTCTTTGTAACTTCTTTTCCTTTCCTTCTTCCCTCTCTTCTTCTCTCTCCCCTTTTTACCCCCTTGTCTCTCTACCTCTATTTCTCTCTTCTGTATTCCCCTTTTCTGTTGCTTTCCAGTATTATACTTATTTTTCAAATTATTTTTCTTTTCTTTGGTTGTTTTTTTAAGTCTTAAATTTTCCATTCTCTTTCCCCCTTTCCTTTTTCTTCCCCACATAAAATTACTTGTTCATTAAAGATGGCTTCTTCTTTGTTCCAGTCTTCTTGTTTTGCAGTCTTTTCTTGTTGTTTCTCATAGTTCCAAATCTCCATTTCTAAGAATTGAAAAACGAAGCCAAAAGAACCCTTCCCTTCTTGTGTATCTTCTTTGTACTTTTTAAGTTCCATTTTCAATTCATCCAGAAATGGTGCCATTGTATAAATTTTTAAACAACCACCCGATTGATTTTAGTCATTCAAATATAATAACCAAAAATCCAAAGATCACCAAATAATCTGAATACACGTAAGCTGTTTCTTTTTTGCTCTTTTTTTTCACTTTCTCTTCCTGGGGTTATTACTTAGTTGCAAAGTTTCAGTTAAATGTATCTTTAGAAGTCTTGCTGAAGTTTTACTTTAGATTCTTTTTAATTCCAGGCAGTCTCCTCCCTCTTCCAGATCCTGCCCTTATTTTTTTCTCTCCCTTCCTAAAGTTTTTAATGTCCAGAAATCTTTATTATCCCTTTGGCATTTTGTTTTATTTTCAGCTTAATTGCCTATTGATGTCAAAGAGTATTTTTCCAATTTCTTATTTAAGTCTCTTAGTTGTCAGTATAGGGAAGAAGAGAGAAGGAAAAAAAAAGGCTTTTCACTTTCCTTCGCTGCTTCCAACTCTTCTTTGGGAGCGATGTTATTTTTTGTAAGTTTAAATTCCAGAGTACCTTGGTTGTTGCTTTTAGAATTTAACCCAGTCAGCCAAAACTTTCACTTATCTTCCTCCTGCACATTCTTTTCCAGTCGAGTTCTTCTTTGTGGTGGCCATTTCTGACCACCGCTGCAACCGCCTTCGCGAAAGGGAGTAATGGCCAGCTGAGGAGGAGAGATGCGGCTCTTCTCGACCCTGCTGGCAGTCTCCCCTCTCTTCACCACCTCTACAGGGTGGCTTAGCCCCGAAACCAGTCGGCTCGGGGTGCTCCAGCGGCGAGCCCAGACAGAAACTGCGTACGATTGCAGATTTTTGTCTGTCGTTGAAGCCCTTCAAACCGGAAGTCCCCACATGCCATATTTTATGAACATGTTGTCTAGTGATGAAGTTGCTATTGTCAATTGTCATAGTTAATCAAGGCCTAGCTGTATTTATTAGGGCTATTCAACAATCTAGATTTGAAGGGGGAAAATTTATTCAGAGCATATCAAGATGTTTATATCATACTAAAGCAGCAATTCTTTCAAAAAAGTGGAATCTTTTTCTGTGCTGATTGACTTGCCTGCACTCTGAAGCATCCTACAAATTCAGATCATGGCATAGACATAATGCACTTTTAGACACTATGAAGTACGAATGAAGTAAATTAATAAAGCATGGTTGCTTTCAAGCAGTAAACCAGAGTTTGCAATTGTACTACTGATTACTACAACATAGTGTATGGACAGTTTTTGTTTGTGGTTTCTTGACATAAGTGGGTTTTGTTTTTGTTTTTTAATTTTGCTGAATCTTCACAGAATTGCAAGACATAGGGCTTCTAGGAAAGATGGCAGACTGAAGACAGCTCTAAGAAAAATGGAGCCAATGTTTGCACCATGAACAAGGAGCCAATGAGTAGATCGACTCTTTTGAACTTCTCTGGACAAAGAGAGGATATGGGATTGGCCAAGCTGTTTTCCTTACAAGGAGACTGCAAGCCAGCAGTCTTCTGAGGGTGGGAGAATTGGGAGGCAAGGGAATTTGCCCTAGTTGCTCTAACTGCACACAAGCTTTTTAAAGGAATTTTGCACATCTCTTGCTAATCACTTTTAAAGGTTGTCTATTAATTGCTTCAAAAAAGTTCAGACACTTTCAAAGTGACAAGATTGCAAATATCATGTGTGTGTCTTCAATACTTTATGCAAGAAAATGAAGATATATCTTTACAATCTTTAAGAATTTAAAATAAACAGCAAAAAGCAAGACAAGATTTTAGCTACAGAAAGTTGTACACATATTAAGGGGTCAGAAAATGTGGGAAAATTGGATTTTGAATGTTAAGACTCTAAAATTGCACCAAAACTTTGAATCAATTATATGCTATGTCGTGTCTTCTTAGGAACAATTTCTAGCACTGATTCTGAATGTGAAAAATATCAATTTCAGGAGACACACAAAGCCAAGAATCATGTGAGGCTGATCAAAGAAAGGCGCTACCTGAATAGATGGAGCAGTCAGATGATGATGTAAGCCACCCAACCCTCATATCCAGAAAGTAGAATGGACGGCAAAGAAGAGACATTATATGAGACTCCTTGCCAAGCAAGGGAGCAAATCAGGGGTGGGATTCAACCGGCGTTACTACTGGTTCGGTGATTACGTTTTAAATAAATATGATTATAGGCTCTGTTTGGATTTTTTGCTGACACATGGATTGGAGAAGATGTATTGGAATTATTTATATGTTATCTAGAATGTTAGGCTTTATTAGCATTTTATCATGGCACTCTAGGCCTCTTTGCTAATTTCAGGAAATTTTCTTCTTAGCCAAGATAATTTCTTTTGGTATGCAAGAATTTGCCTTTTCAGAACTGAACGACAGAGTATATTCTGAAAGTCTTAGAATGAACTTACAAGTTTTAAGAAAGATACAAATCCATCTGGGAAAGGGTGTAACATAATGCATAAATTTGTCACTTGTGGAATGTTATCTAGAATCAATCTTTTCTATTGTTCAATTCTCACATGTAATCAGTTTCTTTTATTATTTGATCAGTTGTACTCTATAAAAAGACTTGACTCTCCCTGTTACTAAACAACTACTAAATATAAATATTTGCTTTGTCTGGATTACTTGATTTGTATTTTCATATGGGCGAAGAAGCTCCTTTGCAATGATAAGGCAACCATCAAACCAGGGATCAGATCCATGCTAAAACTGGGTTGCCTGATTTCTAGCCAACATAAGGTTAAGACTTGAGTTATGAGATGGAGTTTTATATTTATTAAGGAGAGGTGAAGAAATTATGAAACTTGTTGTGATGAGAGTAAGAAGTTACTTTCTTAGGGAGTTTTTACTTTTTTTCTCTTTTTTGCATCTTTTTCCTTTTTCTTCTTCAGTTGGTATTATCTTTTATTGTTCTAACTAAAACTTTTAATAGACATTATTTTAAAAGATAAAATTGAAAATGAAAGGTATAGAAAGGTAAAAGAAATAAACAAAACTGGTCAAATAAACCACAATTTCAATTTTTAAGAAACAAGATAAGCCTTACCTTGCAGCCTCTCCACCACATTTGTCTTCTGAGCTGTTTGGATCTGTTACTAAAAGCTGTTGCATTATCTGATAAGCTTTCTGCACCAGATAAAGAGACAGAGAAACAGAATTGAACATAGTGGTAAGATAAAGCTTTTGCTTGTATCCTGATTTTAAAAAAAAACCAGGGAAGGGTCATGAACAGAGAATTCTGCACAATTTCTTTCTTCATAGGAAATCCAAGAAGAACAACCAAACTCTATCTAGGTAGTTCTTGCTTAACATCCATTTGTTTAGCAATCATTTACAATTAGGACAGTGCTGAACTAGGATTTAAAAAAATGGGTCCTCACAGTTGCAACTGTCAGTTGTTCCTGCAGTCACATTCAGATGAACAGGGATTGGCTTGCTATTATGAGATCATACAAATCTGTGCTCACATGTTTGCCATTTGCAACCTTCAGTGCTGGCTTCTAACAAGCAAAGTCAATAGGGAAAGCAGCAGAAGATTGTGAATGGCAATCACATGACTTCAGGATGCTGCAAGCATGAAAGGATTTGTCTACAACAGCAACTGGGATGGGCAGAACTGTTGACATAAGTCAGCTGGTCATGCAACATTGCATCTTTACCATTGCATTGTTTAGTGATGGAGTTTTCAATCCCAATTACCATTGGCAAGCGAAGACTACCTGTACTTTATATTACTAACAAGCTCTGCTCTAGATCATTAGTTCTATAATTACTATATATTTGGAAATGAAGACAAAGTTGTTTAGTATAACTTTTGAATTAAGAGACACTGCTACTTATTTACTGGTTGTCACATCTGATAGTTATTATGGATGATTTTTTTTCAATCTTTACTATTATCATACCATTAATATTTTAGTGTACTTGACACCACAAGCCACCAAGAGTCTTTTAATTGCTGTGGATAGGAATGTAACTAATAAAGAGATCATTTACAGAATTGCATCATAATAATAAAAGGCATAATCAAGATAATAAGTCTCATGATGACCTCTAGCAGGTTGTAATCTGCAACTGTAAGAGAGAACTGACAAACAAGAGAAATGACTCATCTGTAGCACAAGAATGGGAGATCTGGTTCCTATAAATAGCTGTTTTTTTTTAATAATAAAGTTTTATTTGGGTTTTCACACATACAAAATACAAGTAAAACATCTTTTTTGAAAATAGCATGGTCCCGGGTTGAACTTCTTTATACAGACACAAAACTCAATTTCATGCTCCTTTTTGTGTTCTATTCCATATCTTATACTATTTTACATTTTCTATATAGTTTTTCCCCTCTTTTAATTTTCTCACTTTTATTTTGATTATCTCATCTCAATTCAAATCATTATATTTATACTTTTGTCTGTTCTGTTTCAATTTCATATTATCTTTTCTCATTAAACAAATTTTCTCCGGTAGTTACTAATTGGAGTATGACACCTTTATATCTTTTAATTACATCCATTCAACTCTTATTTAAACTTCAATATACACCTTAAGTTTATGACCTTCAATATAATACATAATACATAACTTCCAATCGAATTCTGCTTGTACATTCTTATAATACACACTATATTCTTTAAAAAAAAAAAGATTGTAAATGTATGTAATTATAAACCCTCATTCCATTCCAGTTCAGTTCCATCATTATCATTAAAATCTTAACATCTTTAACACTTCTTTTCAATTAAATATCATACTTCCTTAAAAACATATATAATCTCCATAATTTTCCCTTATTTCTCTTCACATATGTTTTATAAATCATTAAATATACCTTTTGTTACATTTATTTGACAAGCATTCCGCTGAATTACGATAGCTATTTTATCAGACATTTTAATCATACATTGTTTCATATTTTCCAAAATTATTTCTGCTTCTAATATAACCAACCATACTATCTTATGTACCTTTGCAGAATCCCTTTTTCCATTAAGTTTTCACCCATTATCTCTAAATAGGCCCTGTTTCTCTATATTTTGCTTCTGTCCTTTATAACTTCTTTTCCTTTCTTTCTTCCCTCTCATCTTCTCCCTCCCCTTTTTACCCCCTTGTCTCTCTACTTCTAATTCTCTCTTCTGCATTTCCCTCTTCTGTTGCTTTCTGATTTATACTTATTTTTCACTCTATTTTTTTTTTTTGGAGTTGTTTTTCCCAATCTTAAACTTTCCATTCTCTTTCCCCCTTTTCCTTTTTTCCATCTAGGATTACTTGTTCATTAAAGATGGCTTCTTCTTTGTCGCAATCTTCTTGTTCTGCAGGCATTTCTTGTTGTTTCTCATAATTCGAAATCTCCATTTCTAAAAACTGAAATATGAAGCCAAAAGAACCTCTCCCTTCTTGTGCATCTTCTTTGTACTTTTTAAGTTCCATTTTCAGTTCTTCTAAAAGTGGAGCCATTTTAAACAGTTTTAAACAACCACCCAATTGATTTTAGTCATTCAAAACAATAACCAAGAATCCAGAAATCATCAAGTAATCCAGATAGTCCCGAGTTATATCTTCTTATTTCTTTTTCGACTTTCTCTTCCTGGGGTTTTTGTTGCGATATTTCAGTTAGAATGTATCTTTTGGAAGTCTTGTTGAGATTTTGCTGTAAGTTCTTTTTTAATTCCAGGCAGTCTCCTCCCTTCCAGATCCTACCCTTTTATTCTTTTTCTCTCCTTTCCTGTTTTCAAAAGCTTTTAATTATCCAGAAATCTTTATTATCCCTTTGACTTTTTATTTTCATTATTAAATGCCTATTGATGTCAACGTGGATTTTTTTCCAATTTCTTGCTTAAGTCTCTTAGCTGTCAGTATAGGAAAAGGAGAAAACTAAATCTTTTCCCTTTTCTCTCTCTTTCGCAGCTTAAAAATCTTCTTAGGGAACAATGTTATTGTTTTTTAACAGTTTCAATTCCAGGGTACCTTATTTGTTGCTTTTGCTGTTTGACCCGGTCAACCAAAACTTTCTCTTCTTATCTTCCTCCTGCATATTCTTTTCTGGTGGAGTTCTCCTTTGTGGTGGCCATTTCTGACCACCGCTGCAACCGTCTTTGGGAAAGGGAGTAATGGCCAGCTGGGGAGGAGAGATGCGGCTCTCCTCAACCCTGCTGGCAGTCTCTCCCCTCTTCACCACCTCTACAGGGTGGCTTAGCCCCAAAACCAGCCAGCTCGGGGTGCTCCAGTGGCGAGCACAGATCGAAGCCTCGCAGAAACGAGGTTTTGGTCTGTCGCTGAAGAAGCTCAAACCAGAAGTCTATAAATAGCTGTTTCTGTCTTTCCACGTTACATTTAGCAACAAGGACTACCTTTTCATAGGTCTATGAGATATTCAGAGCCATTTTTCTTTAAAAGCATGGTAAACTGAGCTTTAAAATTAAAAAATTCTCCCATGAACAAGCTAGCTCTAAATCAGACACAACAGTATCACTATTATATACCCAGGAACCCATGTATGCAACAGGGAACCTAAGAAATAAGAACAGATAATGAAATCCAAGTATGCTGAGATCAGGTAATATGAAAGACATGGTGTTCCTGGAACTCAGTTTCATCTTCTAAAAGGGACGAGGAAAAATACCAACCTGACTTATCTTGCAAATCATCCAGCCGCTCTCCTCTTTCTATCACCTTGGTGATATTTTCTTGCATGACATCAATAACTTCATCAACCTGGTTTTGAACTCTGGGTTAAAAATATACACAAGGATGCATCACATGACCAAGGAATTTGTCATCAATACCAGAAAATGCTACTGAACTGATATCCTGCAGTCTAGATGCTGAGTGGGAATGATAGGAGTTGTAGCCCAATTTATTCAACAGCTCTGAATCTGAATTGAGTGTGATATAGTTAATATCAAATATTTTTAGTGTGCAAAGTCTTTAAATTCTTTATATAATGGTTAAAGAATGTACTGTAAATAGCAACACATCAATTTGTTTTTCAAATAGGCATCTGAATTGATAATTATCTGCCCAAGTCCAATATGGAATCGCAAGGGTCCTCTTTGTAGACTTCAGTTCAGCATTCAATACCATCATTCCAGACATTCTTCTAACTAAACTAAACCAGCTAGCAGTATCTGAACACACTTGTAAATGGATCATAAGCTTCCTAACAGACAGAAAGCAGCAGGTGATGCTAGGCAGAATCACATCTGATAACTGTACAATTAGCACAGCCCCCCCCCCCCCCGCCCAAGGCTGTGTGCTTTCTACACTTCTCCCTGTATACCAATGACTGCATCTCAAACGATCCATCTGTTAAAATACTGAAGTTTGCAGATGATACAACAGTGATTGGTCTCATTCAAGACAACAACAAATCCACATACAGATGGGAGGTTGTACAACTTGCCTCGTGGTATGAAACCTGGAACTGAACACACTCAAAACCATAGAAATGGTGGATCTGGAACTGAACACACTCAAAACCATAGAAATGGTGGTAGATTTTAGGAGAAACCCTCCCATACTACCATCTCTTACAATACTAGACAACACAGTATCAATAGTAGAGACCTTCAAATTTCTAGGTTCTATCATATCACAAGACCTAAAATGGACACCTAACATCAAAAACGTTATCAAAAAAGCACAACAGAGAATGTTCTTTCTGTGCCAATTCAGAAAGCTCAAACTGCCCAAGGAGCTGCTGATACAGTTCTACAGAGGAACTGAGTCTGTCATCTGCACCTGTATAACTGTCTGGTTTGGTTCTGCAACCCAACAAGTCCCAGACTCCAGAGAGTAATTAGGACTGCAGAAAAAACAATTACTATTCAGGACCTGTATACTGCACAAGTCAAAAAGAGGGCTGTACAGACCCCTCACAGCCCAGACATAAACTGTTTCAACTCCTACACTCAAAGCGATGCTACAGAGCACTGCACACCACAACAACTAGACACAAGGACAGTTTTTTCCCTGAACGCCATCACTCTGCTAAACAAATAATTCCCTCAACACTGTCCAACTATTTACAAAGTCTGCATTACTATTACTATTAATCTTCTCATCACTCCTTATTGCCCATCTCCTCCCACTTGTGATTGTATGACTGTAACTTTGTCACTTGTATCCTTATGCTTTATATTGACTGTTTCCTAATATGATTTAATTGCTTATTGTACCCTATGACTATTATTAAGTGTTGTACCTTGACTCTTGACGAATGTATCTTTTCTTTTATGTACTCTGAAAGCATTTGCACCAAGACAAATTCCTTGTGTATCCAATCACACTTGGCCAATAAAGAATTCTATGATTAAGGCAGAACTTGAATTGAACTCAACTTATTGAATAAATTGAAAAAGTTGCAAGTAAGCATGTAAAGAATATATATCAAAGTATAATACTTGTTAGATCCCCACTAACCACACTGTTCATCCTTTCTTGAATTCTCAAGTGCACATTTATGCCCACAATAGTTTCACAAGCAATATTTTAGATATTCTGGCACCTTTGTAGGTAAGAATAAGAATCTTGAATTGTGACTAAAAAAAAGCAATTAGAATGGTTGTTGCGAAGCTAATATAAAAATAGACTTATTCACTTCAATGATGTCATCTTGCTGCTACACCCTTGTATCCCTTTTAGTCTTCACAAACCCAAATCTGTGTCTCCTTCAGTTATAAAATATTTGCCCATATCTGATATATGTAAAAACAAATATATAGCTTTCATATATATGGAAGCAGTTAAAAAAGAAGCAAAGAAAGGCAGTTAGTGATTGTCTTGTTTAGCAAATGTTCAGTTATGCCAGTGACATAACTCTGCAACTATTCCTTGCATTTATGACCATTGTAGGTTTGTAAAACAAAGAAAGATCAAAGCAACAGTCACAGATCAGTTAGCAGCCACTTCGCTTAATAACTGAGTTGTCACAACTAAACAAGGACTACTGTACCTGTATTTCTAGAAGGCCGTGGATTCTGTTCTGCGTTATAGTAGATACAGTATATAAGATGCTGGCTCAAGGGAAATAAATGAAAAAATATGCAATGAAGGAGGATAGTTTTTCTAATCCCCAACAAAAGGAACTATTAATTAGGACTTCACCAAAGCATATAGCATAAATTCCTATTGTTACTCCTACATAACTGGTAAAGTTGATTATTTTCCTACTTTTAATTAATATTCCCTACCACTTTGAGTCTATTTATTTATATTCTCCTGTGAAATTGTATACTGAGAAGAATGTGTGTATAAAGATAGAAGAGGGACATTGCCTAAAAAATAAATTTTAAAATATTAAAGTACTGAAAGAAATGGGATTTTTCCAAAATAAAAGGTTCATTATTTTATGAACAGGTAGTCTAGGAAACAGTAATTCAGTTCACCCGATAAAGTATGATTGCAGAACAGTTAGATTAGTGGGACATGAAAATTAAGCAAAAATAGATTTTACTTGCCACAAAGTACTTACTGTCTGATCTTGTCATTCTTGGGTCCAAACCTTGGACCTGATGGTCCTCTCCTACAAAATGATTAAAGTTAAATTGTTACCTTTATTTCCCAGGATGAGTGACAAATAATATAGCTGATTAATGGACGGCTGTTTGAAATTTGAAAGCATTCAGAAGAAACAGCCCAATCCTGGAAGCTCTGTAAAGACATCTGGCAGAATTTTCAGCCTTACACTGAAGAGTTCATAGTAGCTATTACTGACAATCACAATAAAAGTTGTGTAATACTTTGCCTGGCATTTATAAGGAACCCTTGAGATCAAAGCACATAGAACAGGCAAAAAGAACGGTGCATGAGACCTAGGATTTGATGGTTATCTCTACTCTGGTTTGGAAACACTTACAAGAAAAAGTCCTCTTCTTCATCTGAATCTTCCTCTAGGAGGTTTCTCTGCAAACACAGAAGATTGATACATGGATGAAAAAGAATATTTCTACTAATGGGTATTTTTATTCAAAAAGGAATTTCAAAAGAATATTTCTAGACTGAAAAATTAATCAATACAACTTTTATCAGAATGTAATGCTAATGACACAATGTATGGCAGTCATCTCCAACCTCTTTGGCACCTGGGACCAGTTTTGTGCAAGACCATTTTTCCATGGGCTGGGGCTGGGTGGGGAAGAGTGCACAACCTAGATAACTCTCATGCTCGGTTTATGGTAAGGTTTGTGCTCCTGTGAGAATCCAATGCCTGATGATCTGAGGTGGATGTGGGGCAGTGATGTGTGCCCTAGGGAGTGGCTGCAAATACAGATGAAACTTCGCTTGCTCACCTCAAACTATCCGCCCCAGTCCCTAACAGGACATGGACCGGTAACTGGTCCATGGCCTGGGGGTTGGGGACCACTGATATGTGGTATCTGATATCCACAAAAAGACAATACAAGACAGAATCATTAGGTCTTCCTTTTGAATTATAAATCACGTATACTTGTGAATAAGCCCATCCATACATAAGCCTACTTTCAATTTTTTAATCAAAATGCCATGAAAAATGTGTTACCATAGATAAAATAACCTACATTTTTCAATGGTATTTTGGTTAAAAATCTTGAGGACTTGTTTATTTGAGGATACACTTGTAAGTACAGATAGGAAATATGCATACTTTTAAAAACTATTTCTGTATATACACCTGCGAATAAGGGCAATTTTGGGACGTATGTTGGCACCTAAAATTCTTGGTTTATCTGCAAGTGTATATGGTGCTCTGAAAAATGGCTTTGAAAGGTAAAAATAAGAGTGTCAATCTTGGTTTTGTCACATACCTTATATAGTTTTGTTTTCAAGATTTGCAATATATAATCTGTTTCACTGCTTTTGCTTAATATTTCTAGTTTGTTTTGCCAGAATTTCAATCTTTTCCCCTAGGATCTTTAAAAAAAAGAGAGATTCCTTGGGTGAAGGGGAACTATCAACAGTTATCTCAATCTAACTGTACAAAATGTATACAACTCCCCTAATACCGTCTCATATTAAAGTGAAGACTGGTTTCATCATTCAACCAATGGTGGATTGAATGGACCCTGCAGGTCATGTCCCAACAAGGTCATAAATACAGAAAGGGGTTGATCTGAGTTCCAACAATTTGAGAAACAACAGCTGCATGGCGTAGAACTTGCTTTTTTTTCCTTCACTCTCCTTCTTGGTTGCTGGATGGTGAATGTTGAGGGGCTCTAGTGGACTATATTTGGAAAATCACCACTTTAGACCTTTAATAGATCCTGCTATTCTTTGAAAAGTTCAGACCAATTTAGGTAGCAATACTACCCTATGTATTAAAAACTAGAGCTGGGGCTCTGTAGACTCTTCAATTTTTCTTGTAAGGAATGAGGTATTCCTCTATGCCTCATTACTGATAGTTCATCAACATCTTGAAAATCACAGGTTCATCAGTTCTGAATTTGCCCTAATGCCTGCCCACCTAGAAGTTTGAAAGCAGGGAAATGCAAGTAGATAAACTTCACTGGGAAGGTAATAGGGACATGAAAGGAGCCCCCTCGGGCATCACCTGGGCAACAGTGATGTCAATGGCTAATCCTTACAATTCAGAAGCACCTTGGTAGATGCTTATGACACGGATGAGAGCTGCTTTTTAAAAAATATTATACAACTCCTAGCAATTATTTCCAAGAATCTTCTAAAAGCATTATTAAAGCCATTTTACCAGCAGGCCGCACAATTAAATCATACCACAATAACTACCAAATGCACTCACCCTCTCACTTTTGATTGACCCAGTAACATCATCATCATTGAGGTGACGCTTGAATTTTGGAGGCATGTTTTCATAACAGTGCTATCTTTTTATCCTAGTAGAAAAAAAACATGACATTCTAGTCAGTCTATCAGGTTTTAGTTCTCAAATTATAAGACTTTAATGATTGGCTACAATGATTCCTGTATTTCTTCTATCCCACTAATAAGATAAATCATTACATGAAAGCAATATGAGGTCTGGGATTTTCCAGTATAGTTTGAAGAAACTTTTTATAATTCATGAATAATTTTATTTTTAAACCACTGCAGAAATATTGTTCAAATCAAGAATTAAGTTCAGGAACTTCCGGTTTGAAAGGCTTTGGCGGCGGCAGGAATCCGTGATCATGCGTGGTTCCTGCTGTGTTCGCCGCTGGCGTGCCCCCGATCCAGCTGGATTTGGGGATTAATAGTCACCCCGTAGAGGTGACTGAAGATAGAGGAGGCCCAGCAGGGGTCCGGGGGGATCACAACCCCCCTCCTCAGCTGGCTCAACTCCTTTCTCCAAAAGCGGTGGAGCGGCGGTCAGCAATGGCCACCACAAAGAAACTTTCATCCGGAAAAAGACTGTGCAGGAGGAAGCTGAGAAAGTGAAAGTTTTTGGCTGAACCGGGATAACAAGTAACATCTAAATACCCTGGAAATTCAACATTTTTTTAAAGATACATTGTTCCCTAAGATCATAAAAAAGCAGCGGAAGAAAGTTTAAAAGGGAAAGTTTTTTTTCTTTTCTCACTCTCCTTCCCTACGGAAATTGCAGAAGGAAATCGGAAAAACCCATCTTGGCAACAGAAGGTAATTAAATTTGAAAAATAAAACCAAGGGGGTATTTCTGAACACTGGAATCAAAATTTAAAAATTCTTTTTTTTGCTATAAGTGGGAAGGGAGAGATAAAGAACTTATATTAAGACTTTGCTGGAGGAGATTGCTTGGAGCTTATAAGACCAGAGACAAACTGCAATAAGACTTCAAAAAATACATTTTGGAACTTTGCAATTGATTCTACCCCAAGAAGAGAAAGTATAAAAAGGAGAAAGTGCTAAATGAGTTTGTGTTGATTAGGGTTGCTTGGTGACTTTGGGACTTTTGGAAACTATTTTTTGAAAGACTAATAACTTTAGGGTTGTTTAAAAATTTTTACGGCATTATCTGTTGAAGAATTGAAAATGGAATTTCAAAAGTTAAGAGAGGAGGAACAAGAAGGGAAGGGCTCTTCTGGATCTGTTTTTCACTTTCTGGAAATGGCGATTTCTACCTACCAGGAATTACAACAAGAAAGTTGGGATGAAGAAGAAGAAGCCATCTTTGATGAACAAGTGACTTTGGTTGAGGAAGAAAGGGGAAAGAGAATGGAGAATTCAAGACTTAAAAAAACAACCAAAAAAAGGGAAAATAAGGTGAAAAATTGATACAATGTCAGAAAGCAACAGAAAAGAGGAATACAACAGAGAGGGGAGATTAAGAGGGTGGAGACTAAGAGATGGGGGGGTACAAAGGTTAGATTGGACAAGAAAAGAAGGGAAAAAGGGAAGAGAAGTCACAAAGGCTTAAACAAGATGTAAAAAACCAGATCTTTTTCAGAGACAAAGGGTAAAGGTATCATACTTCAATTAGTGATTACAAGAGAAATATTGTGTTAATAAGAAAAGAAAAATGGATGATTACAGAACAGACAAAAGATATCAGTATAATGATTTAAAATTGAGATGAAATAAATAAAGTAGAATTAAGAGAGTGAAAAGAGGGGAGAAGCCATATAGAATGGTAAATAAGATATGAAATGGTATATAAAGTGAGCATGAACTTGATTTATGTCTGTACCAAAAGATGTAACCCGGGACTAGGCCTCTTTCCAAAAAGAAGTTTTATGTTTTCATGTTTTGTGTTTTGTTTGTGTATGTTTGTTTATTGAAAATTAATAAAATTCATTTTTAAAAAAAGAATTAAGTTCAGATTGTAAATATATCCCACTTCTAGCTATATATTAATTAAATCCCCATTAGTTCCTAAAGCCTTTTATGCATGCACAATAAATTTGGTAAAAAGATTCTAAAATATCAGTTATTGGTTTTGGTCCTATGAATGGAAAAGATGTAAAGGTTATTTTAAAATAATTTCTTCTATCCCACTAATAAAATATGCAACAATTCTTTAATCAGCAATACTGTCAAAGGGCTGGCTAGGAAAATAGTTATCTATATACTGTTATATACTGTTTAAAACTGAAAGGGAAAGCCTTTTCAATCTACCATTAGTTCCAATTATGCTTTTGTACACCTAGAGACATCCTTAAACACTTGAGCAAGGACTATTTTTTAATCAGATCATTATTTGATAAATTTCATTTCCAAAAATGGTCAGATGCTTTAAGGAAATTTACAAAGCCTGAAAGTAACGCCTTTCCTACCAATACTCCTCCAGACCTTGTGTGCAGAATATGCCCTTGCTTTATTTCAAGTGTCCCCCAAAACACTGATGATGAAGCATCAAAATACCATTTGCAAAGTATAAACTATCACGAACCATTACATTATTACTATCTCCAGTGCCTTGGATACTTTCAGTGAAAAGACAGCACCTCAATTTGCTCAATTACAGGTATCTCAGCATGGAAAGAAACATACTGTATGCTTTTGTGACCTACAATGGCCAGAGGCAGGGTGACTTAAGGACAAACCCATTTTTTCAATCTGAAGCTTAAGTAGCTTCAGGAATTCCATCTTCCTTAGTTTGCACTGCCAACATGGAATGCAGCTTTACTGCTTCTGCCCAGTCTTCATTACACCTACTTCTACCATTCTTCTGTACACAAGTGTACACAAGCCGGCCGTTCCTATGTCTTTTACATATATTTCTATGCAAGCCTGCCTCTTTTAACATGTTTTTAATGTAGCTTCCCTCTCCACACACACACCCCTCCTCCAAGCTCACAGTGTCCCACCCCGAGGGCTTTTTAAAAAACTGCTCCTCTATGACTCCTTTCCTCTTCATCTCTCACTCGTCTCCAGCCGACGATTCCCGCTCTTCCCAAAAGCCCACCAGCGAGGCACTCGTCCTCTCCGGGCTTAGCAGCCTTGCTAGTTTCTTTCCCTATTGGCCATTTCGCCATTCCTGCCTCGTCCCCGGGATACTTGCTTTCTCTCCTCCCGAAGGGATCTTCGGCTTCGTCCCGCATCCGAAGTTTCCCACGAGCCAGCGCCCGCCAAACTCGAAAGCCTCCTCTTATCATCCAACCCCACAACCCCTCTCCCCGCTCGCCTTTATTTATTTCCTCGCTCACCTGTTTCCCTTTCAGGCCGGTGCGGAAATGGCCGGTCCGAGGAAGAGGAGGAGTTGTCGTCGTCAGCTGTTGCTCCATCGATCGCTCGGCGCGCCTACCTCCTCAAGGGGTGGAGCCGAGCGCCCAGCATATCGATAAAGACGCCGGTGACGTGAGCCCTCTCGGCTACCGTAACAGCGATTTTCGCCCGCTGGGCGGCGGTCTGAGCTGAAGCGGAAGGAAGCGGGGCTGTTGGAGACAGCGAGGTCGGCAGCACTGGGGGGTCTTTCATTTACAGCCTCCTTCTGACCAATGGAAAAGACCGCGCCTGTGTTAAGGGTAAATGGGCCTACGACTCCCTTAAGCCTGGTTTGCTGAACTCGCCACGATCGGCTTGCGGTATACGAATCGGGTGTGCGGTTTCACTTGTATACCGACTAATAGTTACTGGTTTGAGCCCGTGAAGGTAGAACACGCGGAAACAAATATAATGGCTCCGTTATCCTTGTCTGCTTTTTACTTTAGCTCAGTTTTTAATAGTTTTTGATTTTTTAATTGTTAATCATGATTTTTTTTTAAAGGAATTCATTTTAACTTGTAAGCCGCCCGGAATCATTTGTTCTGTGAGATGGACAGCTATTCAAGTTTGTAGCATTATGATAGATGATTTTTTTTTGGGAGGGGGGGGATATTATACAAGCGTTTTAAAAGTCGTCTGGAATTCATCTTTTATCCTGAGTGAACATTTTAATATTTCACCACAAATTTCAGGAACAGTAAGACAAGACACACATCTTAAAAAAAAAAAACTAGGTTTACTGAACATGATTTGTACAGGCAGGAAACATGCTTATGCTTTAATTTCAATTTTATATTTTAAAAAAGAACATTTCACAGATCCACGCAGGTTAACCAGATAGGCTCTCTGTTGGGTTGTGGTGTTGAACAAAATAGGCAGACAGCTCTTTCAAGGCTTTGTAACGATGAGAAATAGAGTTCTTCACAGCCTTGGGCAATTCAGCATATCTGCAAAAAACAACTTAGAACTTCACCGTGACAAACTGCAAAACCTACTCATCTAGAACAGGTAGTATTATAAATGGATTAATTAAATTTACTCTCTATTTCTTGGCTTAAATATTAAGTCCCAAGTTAAGGAATGATTTGATCAAATACTCTTCTTGGGACATATGAGAATTGCCAATGGAACATCTGTACTAAATCCATTATTTTAAATAGAATAAAACAATAGAATAATCCAAATGCCTGCTGTCAATACATTCATAAATATTTAAGGCAAAATTGGTGTTTTGTAGAACAGAGTTTGCACATTTCTTAATACGTGAACATACAGCAGTGACTGGGTAATTTTACTGACCAACTATAACTAATGAGAAAATATTCCCTTACGTCTCTGTGCAGCCTTCTGGCTGGAAGCAAGGATCCCATCCAAAATCTCGAGGTCCTCTTGGTTCAACTATATGCCCCTATAGAAAAAACATATTTGATGTTGAATTTTCAGAGTTGGACCTTACATAAAACATACAGTTCTGAAGGAGCTGGCAGATGTGATCTCAGAACTACTAAATCATATATTTCAAAGATTCTAGACCACCATGGTACACAAGAGGACTGGGAAAAAGTTCCCATCTTCAAAAAACCAAAAAGAAATGGATCCAGAAAACTATAGATCTATCAGCTGACAATATGGGAAAATTCTGGATTATATAGGCAATGGTAATCAAAGCAATGAATTTGTGAACACCCAGAGAAAAGCAAAGTTATAACCAGACATGGATTTGTCAAAAACAAATCAGAAATCTTATTTTATGACAAAGTGACTATGTTAGTGGACTAGCAAAATGCTGTGGACATCATTTACTTGGATTTCAGTGAGGCATTTGATAAAGTAGACAACTACTACTAGATTAAGATAGAAAAATGTGAATTAGACAGCATCATCACCAGATGGATAGGTAACTGGTTGATCAGCTGCACTCAATATGTAGTCCTTAATGGAACTGTATCTACAGGGAGGGAAACATGCAGTGGGGTATCTCAAGGTTCTGCCTTAGGCCCACGACTCTTCAATATCTTCATAAACAATTTAGATGAGGGGATAGAAGGGGAACTTATCACCCAGCAACTGAGCAAAGAACCAGTTGCTAAATTGTTTTGAAGCCCACCTCTGGATAATACCATTACCCTTCACTTCCAACTCAATTCAGAAATGTTGAATAAGTACAGCTACTTTTATCAAGCAGTGATAATTCTCTTCACCCATTCTAGTAGAAGTACACTCACAACTAAGCAGGCAGCTGCATGGAGTGACAATAATTAAATAACTGAATTGGAAACCAGGAAGCTCCATTGCGGGCATTGTTGAGATAGGAATTAGAAACAAGAAGCTGTGTAGCAGACTCTGCTGTAAATGTACATAGAAATATATCCCACTACCTGTACTATCAATCACATTACTCCTGCACAGCAAACCAACCAACTGATCTTCTTTCATTCCTTCTCACCTATTTATACTGTTTTTTATTTGTCATTAAATAATTCTAGTTACTTCTCCCCATAATAGGACTAGCCTACTGTTGGGCACTACTCAAAAATGAGAGCACTTGGACTATGTTTAAGATGTTATGTATGAATGCTGAAAGTGGCTGTTATGCTAAGAAAAGGAAATTCCTCAGGTCATTTACTAACACAGGTAATTCCACATTGTCATACATACTTGAGTCTGGCCTTTGAATAACTTTACAGGATCATCTGGATTTCCAGTGCTGAAAGCAAAGGTGCAGAGAGCGTAAGCAGATTTATCTTCAAATCCTGCTAAGAGTTTGTGGAGACCTAAGCAATAAGAAAAAAAAGTCATAATTTCTTCTTTAGTAAATTTTGCTTGACAGAAGAGGAGATGTATAGGACACAAAATGGCAGTTCACATATTTTGGTTTTAATCCATATGTCTGACATGTTTGATATATATCAAACAAAATCAATAGGACTACTACGATAGCTTTTCTATTCTAGGTCTAGGACATAATGCAGTTAAAAATTCAATGAATTTTCTGTTCCTGTATATGTGCTTGTGGCAGAAGAAATGTTTTAAACATATATTTAAATAGATGATGTCAATATAATTCAGGTTTATGAAGGCTAAATCAGATCTAAGATATGGAACATTAGGATCAATTCTGCCAAATAGCTACTTTAATATGAAATCAGACAAAAACTTGTTAGTACTTTACAAGTTATCCTAGCTTTCTACTGGAAAATATCATTGAAAGAAGAATGGAACAGAACAGAAAGGATCTGCAAACACAAACCAAGAAGAAGAGAAGGGTAGCATATAGAACACTGAAAAGTAAAATCATCAGGAATAAAAGGATCCTATTTTAAAAGGGAAACAAAAAAATGTACCGAGTGCATAATCAATATGGATTATGGCAAGGCCAGTGCTATCAAAACAGCATCGTTCCACATTTGAGTAACACATTAATTAATGAAGGAAGCCGCACAATCTTAGAAGGAAGTTTATATGAAAGAATTACCTTCTGGCTTTAGCTTTTCTAGGAACCATTTTCTGAAACACAAATACAGGCACAAATCATATTTTTCACTATCACAAGAATAATAAAAACATCTGAACATCATTCAACACGCAAGGCAAGACCAAAATTATCTGTTAAATAAGTTACCAAATATTTAATCCAAACAACTCCATTTTTTTTAACAAGAGTTCCAAGAAAATGTGTACTTTAAAGTAGTACTATTAAAATCTCGTAAAAACTAATGAACAAAAATAAAAGAATACGTAAAATACAGCAAAGATATAAACATTAACAGTGAAAACATCAGTTCTGAAATCGCAAATCTTGTTCAGCAAAACTGATACCATAATGGCATGCTTGCACTTTATTTGCCTTATCAGAAATACAAGAAATCAAAACATAAAAAGTTCCTTAACAAGAGTGTATAGTAGATCCCTCTTATCTTCTTGCATCACTCTATAGCCATCACTCTTCATACTGCTCTGACTCATATAGAACAGTGGGATGGCTATGTGGGGATGCTTTTTGTGGACTTTAGTTCTGTGTTTAACACAAGTCTTCCATGTAAGACTAGTGTCTAAACTTCTGGACCTTGGGCTTTAATTCAGTCTGCCTTTGGATTATGGATTTCCTGTCTGGCTGCTCACAGGGCATCAGATTAGGTAATCATACCTCTTCAGCCCTTATTCTTAACAATGGTACACCACAGGGTTGCGTGTTGAGTCCCTTACTCTATACTCTTTATGTGCATGACTGCGTTTCCCACTCACGTTAATAATACTATTGCTAAATTTGCAGATGATAAAACAGTGGTGGGACTTATCTTGGGTGGGGGGGTGGGGGATAAGTCTGCCTACCGAGATGAGGTGGACCGGTTGCTTTTGTGGTGTGGAGACAATAACTTGGTCCTCAATACCAATAAGACCAAGGAGTTTATAGTGGATTATAGAAGGAACAGATCAGACATCCAGCCCTTGCTTATCAATGGAGACCGAGTGGAACAAATGACCAGTTTTAAGTTTCTGGGTGTAACCCTAAAATCGGATCTGACCTGGGGTGCCCACATTGCAGCCCTGGTCAAAAGGGCCCAGCAGAGATTATACAACCTGAGGCTTCTCAGAAAACAACTGAATGAGAAACTGCTGGTGACCTTCTACCGCAGCACCATAGAGAGCATTTTACAATACTGCACCTCTGTATGGTTTGCCAATTGTACAGTGGCAGATAGGAAAGCACTCCAGAGGGTTAATGTCATTGCCCAGAAGATCATTGGTTGCCCTCTCCCCTCTTTGGAAGAGCTTTATAGCTCCCGCTGTCTTAAGAAAGTTCAAAACATTCTCAAAGATCCATCTCATCCTGGGAACCCTTTTTTTGAACTATTACCATCTGGCAGATGGTACAGAACAATAAAAACAAAGACAAATAGACTGAAAAACAGCTTCTATCCCAGGACAGTAGCTCTTTTGAATTCTGTATAATGCAGTGTTGGTGTGGGGTCGGGCTTTTCTGGTTTAATGTGTGAAGGGTGAAGGATGTGTGTGGGGGTTTATTGTCATGGTCATGATGTGCACTGAAGATGGTGTTTGATTTTGTTGTACGAAGTGTAATGACAATAAAGTAAACTAATCACAATGGGAACTAAAACAAAATGCAAGCACATGAATACAGCATTTCTTATTTAATAGCCCAGCTGGATCAGGCCAAAGATCATCCAGTTCAAAATTCTGTGCCATACTTTGGCCAATGACATCCTGTTTCGATATTCACACCTGGGTGGTGGATGACAGTCACTTCTCAGTAACCAATATTTAATCCATGTTGCCCATGATTCAGTGGGTGTAAATGGTCATCAGTATCAGGAAGGATCAATATACTTCTCTTCTGTGAAACTGCCTACTCCCTTTTAAAACTGTCCAATGGCTGCCATTAATACAATAGTTGGCAACAACCTTTGCAATTTATGTGTTGTGTACAAAGGCATTTTTCTTCTCTCAGTATTGAATCTTCCTACATTTAGTTTCATCGGATGACCTCAGGTTTTAATAGGGTGAGGAGAAAAACATTAGTTTATCTCTACCATCTATATTATGCATTGTTTATATACTCCATGTTTCTTTTTATTCTCCTTTAGTTCAAATGACAGAGCCACAATCAGAATAGTCTTTCCTCACAGAAAAGTAATTGTGATTTCCTTGTTTTCATACCTTTTCTAATTTTGTCATTCACTCATTTTTGTGCAATTATGTCAGTCCTGTTACTTGACAATTACCTGGACAAGTCCTGGTGATTTCTTGGTAAGGGTTTTTTTTTTTTAGAAAATATTTACCATGGCAGTCATCCTAGAGTTTAAAAAGAAACTAAAGTCACCTAATTAGCTTTGTGCCTAAGGCAGAACTAAAATTCATGGTTTTCCAGTTTCTAGCCTAGTGCCTTTAGTCCTATACCAAACTGGGTCTCTAATGTTGTAATATCCCTTTTTCATTTCATTTCCTTTTTCTCTCAGAAATGTTCACAACACTGAACTATACAAAGGAGGGAGGAGGTTTTCTAATAGTTCTAAATATCAAAGCACTCAGGAAATAACACATATCTAGACCTCTGCTTTTCTTTTGTATGTATGTAATAGGGATGCAAAAAAGACAAAACTTTCAGTCTAGATCAGGGGTATCAAACTCAATTTCATTGAGGGCTGCATCAGGGTTGGGTTTGACCTCAGAGGGCTAGAGGGTGGGGGTGGCTCTGGTGGACGTTACACAGGACCGTACCTCTACACACATGGTTTTATATACTTATAAAAATAGAAAGACGTACACTTCTGTGATTTTGTTTTTCTAATACGTGATCACCTTATGAGAGAGAGATTAAATCAAGAAACATTCCATAGGAAGACTAGAATTATAATTTATTTACACAGGCGATAGTAGCAGAATCCTGAAAGCCTGAAAGGTAAAATACTTTACCTTTCCTCCCTTTTATAACCTTCCGAGCCAAGGACGGCCTCCTGCAACACTCCCGAGGCCACGTTTTGGGCCCAGAAGGCCTCCTGCAGCACTCTGGCGGCCAAAACTGGTTGTGGGGGGACACATGCGTTCCCCCCGCACTCTATTTTTGCTAGCAGAGGCACCATGGGCTGGTCCTTTGCTATTTCTAGGCTGCTCGTGGGCCAGATCTAAGCACCACGCAGGCCGGATCTGATCCGTGAGCCTTGAGTTTGACACCCTTGGTCTAGATAATTAAGATAAACAGAAATTCCTTTATGCCTAATGTTCCTTCTCTCCTCACCTGTTTACCTCTAACCTGCAATTATCAGCTATCAAATCTCAGCAAATTACTGGAGTCCAACTTACATATATGGCCCTGGGAGACCTCCAAGAGCAGTGAAACACAAACAGGTATCTTCTACTATAACTGGTCCCTGAATCTGTTAAAGGAAAATAATAATAAAACAACAAAAGAACAATGAAAGCCTAAATTAATTTTTGGATGTAGTTCCACATATTGTAAATAAAGCTTTCCAAAAATCGTAGGCAATTTCCATCCCAAGTTAACATCTGCGGCTCTGATAGCAATAATATAAAGATTCATTGCAGAAACCGTTGTTAGGAATGTATATAATATAGATGCCAAATGGAAATAAACAGAATGGCCTCATAGTTGGAGCTCTGCATTTTAAAAATGTAATCAGAGCTAATATAATGTTCCAATATTTGAAGGGCTGCCACAAAGATGAGCGGGTCAACTTATTTTCCAAAACAACAGAAGGCAAGAAAAGGAAACAATGGATGGAAACTAATCAAGGAGACAAGTAACCTAGAACTAAGGATAAATTTCCTGACAGTGAGAACAATTAACCAGTGGAACAGCTTGCCTTCAGAAGTTGTGGCTGCTCCATCACTGGAGGCTTATCTGAAGTGGTATAGGGTAGCGGTCACCAACTGGCGGGAGAAAATTTTCGTGGGCCGCAGAGAAATGTCACTCCCAGAGCACACACACACACCCCAGCAATTAACCCAGGCTGTGCAGGAACACAAGGCTGCGCCGCCCATATGGCCTCCCTGCCCACTCACTCCTTACCCAGCAAACTTGCCTGCTAAATTGCTATTTTCCCTTTTTTTCCCCAACCATCGGCTGTTCTGCTGGGCGGGATTTAGATTAGCTAGGAAGCAGGAAATGGTTGGATTTCTTGCTTTCTAGCTAGTCTTTAGATCTTCGGCTCTGCTTTTAAGCACAGCTGAACCTCCCTTAGGACTGTAAGTTCTATTATTCAGTGCAGACTCACAGCAAGCAAATTTTATGTGACAGACTCAGGTAGCCGATGGCAGATAGATCACTGAATGATTCTGTGAGCAACTCAACCTGCCTGCCTGCTTTGCTCATTATGTATGTATGTATGTATGTATGTATGTATGTATGTATATGTATGGCATTCAGCTTTGTTTGGGTATTTTCCCACGTCATTGTAGTTGTGCTTTTAAAGTTGTAGCAACGTTTCGGCAGAATCTCATCTGCCATCATCAGGCTTCTGTACTGTGTTCATCTGTGAGTCAGACTGTGAAAGTCTGTGAAAGTCTGACTGTATAGAAAGTCTGTATAGAAGCCTGATGATGGCAGATGAGATTCTGCCGAAACGTTGCTACAA